TTGGGCCAGTGCCCTGTAGAAGGGAGCACCGAGCTGCACCCAGGCCGAGTCCTGCAAAATGCCATTAGTTTTTTGAAGGGGGGGGCAGGCTGTGCTTCGGACACGCAAAGGCAGTCCTTTGCCCCCGCCCCGGGGTGACACAGCGGCAGAGCAGGAAGTTTCCAGCCGCTGCGCTGCCCGTGGGGATTTCATGGCTGTTGTTGAGCTTACTCGTTGCCGTGCTCTTCCCTTTTTGGGGTGGAGGTTTTTTTCTTCTTCCTTTTTTTTAAAAAAGTTGAGCAAAACCGGTTTGCAGCGCGCTGCAGCCGCCGTTACGCAGCCGCTCATCACCCACGGGGTTCTGAGTAAGGGCTGCGCGCCCCTCCAGCTCGCGAGCTGCCGCTCCGCCGCCGCGGTCTCCCCGCAAGCGATCCCTTCGTTAGCTCACGTCTGATCCCATCCCCCGCCTGCAGAGCCGCCCCTCAGCCGCGGGTGCCGCCCCTGGAGGTGCCCCAGGCCACCGAGGGGCCCTGGGCGGCGGGAGCTGGAGGGCGGGCAGCCCACGGCACGGGCGGGGCTGGAGGTCCTTTCCGACCCAACCGCGCTGCGTTTCTTCGTGCGTGCTGCCGCCCCTCCCGAGCACCGCCCGCACCCCCAGCCCTGTCCCGGCTCTGCCCCAAACAGCGCAGAGAGGCGCGGAAAGGGGCGGGCGGTGCGCGCCTGAACTGAGGCGGGACAGAGCGCTGCGGGGTGGGCGGGTGTTGGTGTGTCCGTCCGTCTGTAGGAAGGAGCGGAGCGGAGCGGAGCGGCCATGGCAGCAACGCGGCTGGCGGGGATCTCGGCGCGGCCGCTGGGCGCGGCTGAGCCGCTGGCGCTGGGCTCGCTGCAGGGCAAGGTGCTGCTGGTGGTCAACGTGGCGTCGCTCTGAGGCACCACCACGCGCGACTTCCTGCAGCTCAACGAGCTGCAGCAGCGCTACGGGCCCCGCGGGCTGCGTGTGCTGGGCTTCCCCTGCAACCAGTTCGGGCACCAGGTATGGAGCGGGGAGCGGGCAGCGGGGAGGGGGCGGCAGCGCGGCCGGGAGCTCACGGGGCCGATCCTTCCCGCAGGAGAACGCCACCAACGAGGAGATCCTGCGCTCGCTGGAGTACGTGCGGCCCGGCAACGGCTTCAAACCCAATTTCACCATGTTCGAGAAGTGCGAGGTGAACGGGAAGGGCGCGCACCCGCTGTTCACCTTCCTGAAAGAGGCGCTGCCCTTCCCGCACGACGACCCCACGGCGCTGATGACCAACCCGCAGTACATCATCTGGTCGCCCGTGTGCCGCAACGACGTCTCCTGGAACTTCGAGAAGTTCCTCGTGGGCCCCGACGGCGTTCCCTTCCGCCGCTACAGCCGGCACTTCGAGACCATCAAGCTGCAGGACGACATCGAGCTGCTGCTCCAGAAGGTCCCCAAGGAGGCTCTGCAATAAAGGAAAGCCTGCACCTGCGTTGTACCGAGGGCCGCTGCTCTGGCTGAACCCCCAATGTCCGTGCAAGCTTTGCTCGTGACGGTGCATCTTCCAAACCCTCGAAGTGCGCCCGATGTTTTCAAAGCTGCATGTGAAATGTTTGGGGCAACTCAGCCTGGGGAGCAGCACATGAGTGTGGGTAATGGTGTGGGGTTCTCTGAATAAAGACAAAGTCTGCTTTAAGGCTACGGCGTGGTGAATCTGGGTGAGTTGGGACAAACAGGGTGGCCAAAGGCTGGGTGCATGCTCTGCCTGGGTGCGGGCTGGCTGGGTGCAGGCTGGGGCAGGCTGAGCTGTGCCCGGGCAGCTGGCAGCCACTGCACGGCTTCTGGCTGCTGTACCAAGGGGCTGCAGAGGAGCAGCCTTTGCCCGAGGTCACTCATTCTTCGTCTTGCATCAGTGGATGCCCCAAGGAGACCCAGAGCTGGAGCAGCGAGTGTGTGTGGTGCTGCTGTCCTATCTGCCCAGCGGTCCCTGGCACTGTTCTGTGTTGGAGGCAGCCTCTGGTGGTGCCACTGACCCTGAAAGTGTTCAGGAAATATGGGGATGTGGCACTGAGGGGGTGGCTGAGTGGGCAGCTAGGGATAAAGATTCCATGATTCTGTGATCCTGCATTCAGCCCGGGTCACCTTGCAGCCCCAGCACAGGTACACGGGGCTCTAGCTGGAGAACCAGTTCTTTTGTTCCCAGCCTGTTTGACTACTTCTTCAGCAGAAGCTGTGCCTCGCCTCTGATTATCGCTGTTGCCTCTTGGGCACAAGAATTGTAGGCAACACACAGTGTGGGTGAGCTGGGGTTTGTGCTATGGCATTTTCTTGTTTCAATTCCTCTGCTGCCTAGTTTTGATTCCAACAAGCACTGATCTGACAGGTGTTCTGTGGAGCTGCCAAGACCTTGATGTTGTTCCTGGGCAGCAACGCAGGGTTTGCAGCTGAATGCCAAAATTGGGGCTGTTTTCCCCTGGAAGCCGTGAGCATGTGCCAAACTTCATCTGCTATCTCATTGCACAGGTCCTCCTGCGGTTGGTTTTCACTCCAGATATCTCACAGTTTCTGCACAATCAACCCTTACAAGGCCTCGAAGCACTGAGTGTAAACATGGTGCTACACTGCCGAGTTCAAGCATGTACCAGCAACTTGGGAAGGCACAACGCTTTCAAGCTCCATCACTTGTGTGTTGTTCTCATAACTGAAACCACTTAACTTTGGGATTTATGGTTTTTTTTTTTTTCCTGTTCATAGCTTCCCATTTCTTACTTGCTTCATGAATGCAAGTACATCCAAGGCCCCTCCTGGCCCGGTTGTTAAGGCAAAGCCTGCAGGCAGCTCCACCCTGCTTACCGCTACCCCTGAGTAATCCGGATTTCAGCTCAGATTGCACAACTCTCACTGGGCTATTTCTTAATTTCCTTAACTTTTTAACTTTGTTAAAAACAAAAAAAAAACAAAAAACAAAACAAAACAAAACAAAACAAAAAAAAACAGGATGTTTTCAGTGGTTCATTTCGCCTCTGGAGCAGAAGTTGCTTGATTTGGTGCATTCACTTTGCAGTTAAATCCACTTCCCTAATTAGTGCAGTATGTTGAAACACACTGAAAGCACAGTGGCTGACGGGCAGCAGGAGCTCATTGCATTGCCTTTAAAAATCTTACTCGATGTGAGCTGTGGCATTTCCTTCATCTTGGCTCACCAGACTCCAGATGTGTGAGCAGGAGCCCCTGCAGGACCCTCCATGCTTTGCCACTTCCCACTGTCTGCAGCCTCTGTAGAGCCCCACAGCTGCAAGGAACAGGGCACCAGGGCAGCCCCACAAAGAGATCCTTCCCCAGGTGGGAGAGCTGCCTGCTGGAGCTGTACAGTGTTCATTCTGTATTAATGGCCATGGGATTTGTTTGTCTCCTGGCTGCCGGGGCTGTAGTGGCAGAAAAGCAAAGCGGCAGCTCCAGGACAGATGCGCAGCAGCAGAATGATAGCGGTGATGCTACTCTAGGATGAAAATTGGCAGAAAAACAAACCATCCCAATGTAAGCATGCTGCAGTCCCAGCAGTTAGTGTGCAGAGGTAAAATCCTCTCAGCCTCATTCCCTGTCTGCTTTAATCACACACAGAGAGTGGATGGTGGTGGAAGGGCCATTCTGGAAACATTCCTTGGTGACACACACATAAGAGCACAGTTCTTGTGCAGGCTGCTGTACTCCAACACTACTGGGTGTTGGAACCACGTGGGAAAGAGACATTTCACTGCAGGTAATGCATTTCAATGATTCCGTGACCTGAGGACATTGCCCCTTCCGTATCTTATCTACACTCCTATACCTTCCTACTCCTACACCTTCCTACTGTAACATGTATCTGCTAACAGCTACTCCTTTGCCAGTGCACACCTTGCCCTTCCCTTCCTCTACCTATCAGCCCCAGCTCTCCCCCCTTCCCAGAGTGTTTGGCCCCTCCTTCCCCTCATGATCAGGGTGACCTTCTAAGCTGCCATCAACTCCTTTAACCTTTAAACAAGTTCAGATGGGACACAGTCAGGAGCATGAACTAGCTGCAAATAAAAACGTCCTATCCTGCCTTTATCTCCTGGCTTCCCAAGCATTCTGCCCATCAGCCTCAAGGACACAACCCTCAATCATGGAACAGCAGCGTTCAGAAGCATTTAAACAACAGAAATGCCATCAAGTGGAGAACAAAACAAGCCCTTTATTCCTCAGCCTGCTAAAAGCTCTTTCTGATGTTTTTAACTCCTTTTTCCTTTCCGAGGAGTTGCATTGCACACACAAACTTTGCACACACAGACTTCCAGAGGACTTGTAGTCATTTTTTGGTCACTGCCATGGGCAGGCAGGAGGAAACACCTGCCTACAGCTGGGTGGTGCCTGAAAGCCCTTGCTCCCTTAGCCCTACACATGAGACTATTTTGTTTCCTATTAGGAAACAGAGCTCAGCCATGCGTGCTTTGCCTCAGCACAGCTGACTCACTGTAAAACACACCCACGAGCTGTGGCAGCATTCTTAAAGCTTGCTGGCATTCATTGATGGATTGCCCTGCCCTGCAGTTTGTTTAGGTAACAGAGCTGTGTCTCTGTACCAAGGAGAGAAGGAAGTTCTGCCGAACGTTTGTACCAAGGAAACAGGAGGTCGTGTAGCATGTGATATGTAACAGAACTCTGGGAAACCTTTGCATGTGTAACACGAGCACCACAATCTCCCTGAAGGGCGGTTTCCAGAGGCACTTTCACAACTCTTACGAGCTCCCCTCGTTGCTCAGCTCTGTCCTCTCTTTTCTTCCCCCCCTCAGTCTGAAGGCTTTCCCCCCCAGGCTCGCACTCAGCGCAGGGAGCCATGAAGCCTGGCCACAGGGAACACACACACAGCCGCAGCTCACACGCCGCCGAACCACGCCCCCACCACTTCCGGTCACCCGGGCGGGGCCACAAAATGGCGCCCGCACGCAGAGCGCATGTGCGCACGGCCGACTTCCGGTAGCGGAGGGGTGAGCGCACCAAGATGGCGGCGGCCCAGGGCGGAGGGGGGGCGGCGCGGTCGGAGCTCGGCCCGGAGGCGCCGGGCTCGGCGACCGTGGAGCCGGCGGCGGCGGACTCGGCGGTGCCGAGCCCTGCGGTGCAGCGGGCTGAGCTGAGGCCACTGATGGCCGCGTCCATGAGGCTGGGGGAGTCCTGGTGAGCCCGGCCGGCCCTTCCCCGCTGCCCCGTCCCCGGGCTGCCAGCGGGCTGCCAGCGCTGAGGGCCGCGCCCGGCCGTGTGTTGCAGGTACCTGCTGTCCAGCCGCTGGTTCGGTCTCTGGAAGCGCTACGTGGGTTACGACAGGTGGGACGTGTCCGGCGTGGGCGACCCCAATCTCTTTCCTGGGCCCATCGACAACGCGTGTCTGCTGAACGGTGAGTGCGGCCCTGTGTGGCCCGGCCCGTCGGGGCTGACGGGCTGCGCGGGGCTCCCCGGGCAACGGTAGCTGCGGGGAGGAAGGGAGCGTGAGAGAGCCGGACCTTAAGCACGTGTCCCTTCCAGATGGGGAAAGTCAGAGCTTAAAGGAGCACCTCATCGCTCAGCTGGACTACGTGCTGGTGCCCAGCAGCGCCTGGCAGAAGCTGGTTTCGTGGTATGGCTGCATCGAGGGACAGCAGCCCATCGTGAGGAAAGTACGTATGGATGGAGCAGGGTTTCCTCAGTATACCTTTGTTATCTTATCTTTGGGGCTGAGGCTGATTGGATGGAGTTCAACAAGACCAAATGCCAGGTCCTGCACTTCTGTCACAGCAACCCTGGGCAATGCTATAGGCTGGGGACAGAGCAGCTGGAAAGCTGTGTGGAGAAAAAGGATCTGGGGGTGTTAGTTGACACCTGGCTACAGATGAGCCAGCAGTGTGCTGGGGTTTACAAGAAGGCCAAGAGCATCCTGGCACATGTCAGAAACAATGCAACCAGCAGGAGCACAGAGGTGATCCTCATACTGGTGAGGCTGCACTTCAAGTACTGTGTTCAGTTTTGGGTCCCTCTCCCCAAGAAAGACATCGAGGTATTGCAGTTTGTCCATGGAAGGGCAACAGAGCTGTGAAGGGTCTGGAGCGCAGTCCTATGAGGAGTGGCTGAGGGAACTGGGTTTGTTTCATCTGGAGAAGAGGAGGCTCAGGGGAGGTCTTATTTCTCTCTCTGCAACTCCCTGAAACGAGGTTGTAGTGTAGTGGGGATCAGCCTTTTCTGCCAGGTAGCAGTGATAAGATGAGAGGGAATGGACTCAAGTTGCACCAGGGGAGATTAGGTTGGATGCTATGAAAAATTTCTTAAAGAATGGTCAGACACTGACACAGGCTGCCTGGGGAAATGACTGAGTCACCATTCCTGAAGGTGTTCAAGAAAAGGGTAGATGTGGCACTGTGGGACATGGCTTAGGGGGGGGGCATGGTGGTGATGGGTTGATGGTTGGACTCCATGACCTTGGAGATCTTTTCTAACCCTTATTCTGTGGTGTTTGTTTCACTGGATGTGAGTTGAGATAATAATGTCAGGTTGCACTTAGCTAGTTGTATTAAAGAATATGATTTGCCAGTGTTGAAGTGCCTGAATCCCCACTGACTCTGTGGATGGGTTATGTGGGGTGAGAGCCATGAACCTTGTTCCAGTTACCTTTAAGTTTGTTTGGAGCAGTGTGGTGCTTTTGTGTTGTGTGCAGCTTGGGCTGTACTAAGGCATGCAATCTGTTAGGCTTATTGATCTAATGGGACAGAACAGGGGACTGGGGTAAATTACCTGCTAATGCAGATGGTTTGGGCACTTTCTATGCAGTTGAACTTGGTTCTTGTTTTCTCTCCCAAAATTCTAGCACTCTAAACTCCAAAAAGAAAAGGAGTGTGTGTGGTTTTCTTTTCTAAGCTTGTAAGATGTTTTCTTCTGTAAGTGTAGTTATGAATGCATTTTGAGTATGTAAGCTCTTCTGAAAGGTAGACCTCACATGTCACTCTTCTGAAACCTGTCAGTTGTTTACAGGTAGAAGGGGTTTTGCTTTTGTTTTAGTCTTGAGTTTTCAGATCAATTCAGTACCATAATTGTTGAGTGTTAGAGATTAGAGCAAATGCTGCTTTGCAGACAGTCTGAGTTATCGTGGCTCAATTAAAAATAACTTTTTTAAGTCTAGACTTGCTGCAAGAATTTCAGTCTCTGTTGATAACCTGCCAGTTACAGTGGATTTTGCTGTTTAAAAAACAGCACCTAGAAATATAGCAGAATAGTATGTCTGTGGGATGTGGCATTCTGTTAGAGAAAAATAGGAAGTGAAAGGTCGGGGGGTACAGCAGCACAGTGCTGCACGTGAGTGTAACCTGCTTGGTATCTAGTGACAGAATGTTCTACATGGCAATGGAAGTAACGTACTTAGACGTGTGATCCTTGGGTGCTCTTTGCTTAAATGGGGATCAATTCATGCATCAGAGTATCTGTAAAAATAACATTTGGAAAGTAATTATTCCTCAAGCATCCTCATAACTTCACAAGTTGAGATTTCTTCCGTCCCTGTGGGTCTGGTAACTGGAAGCAAATACAGGAGGGTAAGACTAGATTTATCTCTAGTTTATCTTATTTCATATTTCCAAACTGTTTCTTGGGACAGTCACTGCAGAAGTCCTGTTGCAGAGCACATGAGTGTGCAAAGTATGGAACAGCAGGGTTTGGGTGTTCATAGCAGTGTGGTTATGTGTTGTGCTGCCCAGTGGGATCACCCACATTTTCCTTTGGCCAGCTTAGTACAGAGAGCAAGCTTGCTGGCCAGAGCTCTTCAGAGAAGTGATGGAAGGAGATTTGTTTTCAATGACCCGAACTGTGTGCCCAAACCATGCTGCTGTTCTGTGAACAGGCACAGTGATGTGCTCAGGAACTTCTCCTGGAAAGGTGTTCTTCCATTTCTGCTGTTGGCTAAAATTTCTGCTAAAAAAGAGACAGAATTTGTGAATGGTTTCTTTTGCATTAAGCAACAACAGAGGTTTCATCTCTTATTCTTGATTCTTCTTTTCTTTCCGAAACTGAGCAAAGTGTTTTTTCGTATGTGGGTTTTTTTCATTCATCCACTTAATTAATTAATCCACATTAAAAATAATGCAGCTATAGATTGTGGATGTGGATTGCAGCAAGTCTGATGTCTTGGGGAAAAATCTTCTGTATCTGCTACTGCAGTGAAGTATGGTGTCAGTTTCCTAGACCTTTTAGCTGCAGAGCACTGTGTGAGTAACATGTTAGTTTTTCATGTTATTTTTTTTAATAGGGTAAGTTTTGCAGTATCCACGTTGAGAAGGATCTCAAGGTTTGTCAAGTTTAGTACTTGAGAAATCACTTTTTTCCTGTACAGTCTTAAATGAACTAAACGTGGCTTTTGTTTACATAGATATGTGGCATCACTTTTGCAAGCTGTGTTGCAGGACTTCAGGATTGTGCTGTATGCATTTCTCCTCAACAATAAGAGAAGGGAATGAGCATGGTATTTAAATGAATAAAAGAGCAAGCTTGAAAGCAACACACTTGTAGGCAGCCATGTGTAGTTAAATGATACTGGTGGAGTCACCGTAGCACAAAGCTGGGAAGTTAAGTGTGAATTAATTATGAACGGAGTGGTTCAGTATTGTGCACCAATGAGCTGAAAACTGGTCTCAGGGTGAAGAGGAGTGCTTGGTGTCAGGTATGGGGAGGGCAGTTGTCCCACAGTGCTGTGAAGCTGTAGTATCAGATGGTATGATATTCTCAGCTATTTTTTTTTCCTCTTCCTGCTGCACTGGTGTTGTCACATAACTGGCCTCTAACTGACGTGCTGCTTTTCCTGCTGTGATATGATTTAAAATCTGTAGATGAAGAGGGATATCTAATCTTGCAGAATACCTTATTATTACTGGTGTTATTTTTCACCTTCTTTCTGTGTGCAGGTGATGGAATTTGGTCTGTATGCAAAGCACTGTGAGGTTGAAGTTTATCCTCTTGAGCTGAAGCTGTGTGAGAGCAGCAGTGCTTCCAACGTGATCAGCTGCTGCTTCAGCAGAAGAGATAGTGTTGGTAAGTAGCTCTCTATGCATTAAGCTGTTCTGATGCTTCGTCAAGAGGTGCTTCGTACCTTCCAGAGCAAGAAAGATGATGTGACTAGAACAAGTCTAGCAGTAAGGTGGTCCAACTGGAGTACATGATCTTTGAGTAGAGCCTAAGGGAGCTGTGGTTGACCTGGAAAAGAAAGGACTTTAGGGGCACCTCTTAACAGCCTCACAGAACCTGTGAGGAGGTTATTGAGAACAGAGGAGGCGAGCTCCTTACTGCAGCACAAAGCAAGGTAACAACAGGTGGTGGTCATATATGAAACATGAGGGTTTGAACTGAATATAATGAAAGTTTTCCCTGTCAGAACAGCTGGGCGTTTGAACAGAGCCCAAATGGGGATTTTCCTTCCTTGCCAGCTTTGAACACCCAGCTGGCTGTGTCCCAAGCAGCCCGGGCTGAAAGCAGTGTTGACTCAGCTTTGAACGCTCAGATTAGGAACAGCCTGAAGTTTCTTCCAGTCATAGTGACTCTTTGTGCAGTGCAGGGAGATGTCATTAAAGGCTTTGCAGAACGTGTTGTTTACTAACCAGTGTCCTTGAGAAACCTCTGTGTTGTTTGTGTAAAGCACTTCAGTCTTTTGTTCTTGTTGTATAATTCCTTCCTTGAGTGTGAATGTTTTAGATGTCCTCTCAGTGGCTTCTTCCTATGCTTCTCTACTTCCTGAAACGTGCCCTCCGTGTAATTCTTGTATTTTCAGATGTGAAAATACATCTGAAATGCATCTGATGGATTTTAGCTGTAATTTGTCTATAAAGAGGCTTCTTTCAGCTTGCTGGTGATAACTGAAACACTTCCTTCTCAACCTGCGTTTTCAAATCATGGCTCTTCCACCAAAGTTGTCCTTTGGGCAGGAGCATCCCAAGGGTTCTGAATGCTGTTGAATGGAGGGCTTGGTGGACAAATGTGTGGCTGAAATAACTGCATTTCTTTCTTTCACACTAAGTACTAGAAAAGCTATAGGAGCAATTGTAACTCCCACAGTGCGCTCCCTACTCAGAAGCCCTTGACAGATAGTGGTGCTGGAAGACTGGCTTCCCAGTTTATTTTCTTCAAAAGTTTTTGTGTTTTAGGAGTTTTGGTGTTGCTTTTTCTTCCTGAACAGCCACTCTTGTGAAAGAAATTCGGAAACTATTTCAAATCCCAGCTGAGAAGGATGTGAGGTTATGGAGCAGCCATTTTGATGGCTCCTACGAGCAGCTCAGCGATTTGGGTGTCACCCTAGAAGATGCAAACATCTATCATGGGGAGGTAAGGGATGTATCTATCTTCAGTGCTCGTGGTGAATGCTGGCATTCTGATAATGCTCAGCAATTTGCAATGCAGGTTTCCTTGAGCAGTGCTTTTTCTCTAAAGTTTTTAGATGCTCGTGTACTGTTTTCCTTTCAGGTCAAGTACTTCAATCACAGTTATCAATATTTGCTCTACTGATGACTTTGTGAAATGTATAGTGGATTTTTTTAGTTACTTCTCTTTTTTTATCTGCACTCTCTTTCAGCTTGTCCTAATAGAAGTGAAAAATGAAGATGGCACGTGGCCTCAACATCCTTTCCTTGCAAAGTAAGAGTAAAGTAATGGCTTCCATTATTTAGTTCAGCTCGTTTGCTGAGTTTAGTGAGTGTGCATTCCCTGGGGAGGCCCAGTTATTGGTGGCTGTTGTGAATTTGTTTGTTTTGTGTGTTTTGGAGAATGTCAGATCTTCAATATAAATATCCTTTATTTATTGCCCTACAGCTGGTTTCTTGTTTTAGCAACAGTCTCTGTCCTAAAGCCCATTTCAGATAGGTTGTGTAAGGATTAAATAGCTTAGGTTTCTGCAGTGCTTAGGAGACAGAAGTGCTATTTCTGTTGAGCTAGATTACTTAGGAAACTGCCTCTGTAGACTGCCCAGGAAAAGTCTGTAGTATTCTACTGCTGTAGGAAAAAATAAAAAGATTGCAGCATGTGAATGCCAGTAGTGAACATTCCACATTCTAGTAGTTTCTCATTAAAAGCAGTTGCAGACAGCCTGACAAATGTGAGCCTTCCATCCTCTGCAAAAAAACACCCGAGAGCTAACAAAAAGAAATCAAAACACCCAACCAATTAGAACCCTGGAAATATTGCTATGAATCTTTAATCTCTGAGTAAGATGAGGAGATGAGGGTGTGATGAAATACTGTGTGTGTGTAGCAGAGTGTGAGTTACGTGCAGTGGTGAGAAATGACTTGTTCATTGTTACACTGCAGAAGGCAAAATCCAATGAAGTTGAGGCCATCAGATTTGATACTGATAAAGGAAATCTTTTCTGTACGGTGCAGTTGAAATGGCAGCAGGTTTCGTAAGGTGCTCCATTTTTAATCAAGATCCTACTGGAGCTGTTTGAAGAAGAGGGAAAAATGAGATTGTTAGTGACAGCTAGTACAGGATCATTTCAGACTTCAGGGATGTCATGCTGGGGAAGTGGGTCAAGAGGAGGTCTGTAGGATCACAGTGAACTCGATGTACATTTTCTCTCTCCACTCACTGTCGTTGCTCTATTAATGCATTTGTAATTGCTCTGTGCTTTCCCTTCACGTCAGTCGTGATCTTCTCTGAAATTTATTTCGTTTCCTTCCCATTTTATGGCATATCTTCATATAAATGCTTTGTTTGGTCACTTGTGGTTTATTTGGTATTTGAATATTCTCCAACTGCTTTTCATCCTTTAATCTTTAACTTTTTCAGTACTACTTTTCATTAAGAGTGGTTTATGAATCCTAAGTGAAACGTAGCCAGCATCTCAGCTGAAGAGAAACAACGACACTCTGCTGTTCACTGATGGTGCTGTGCATTCAGTCAACCTCTTCCTTCCTGACCCACTCTTCATTAAAAAGGAGTTGAGGAGTTGTTGCTTAGTTCACTCATTTGGAGCACACGCTGTTTTTTCTTCAGCTGCCCTGTCTTGCCTTAGGCAGCTGTTGGACCTCATGCACCATTCAGTGATAAAGCCAGAAATTGTTGTGTGATTTAAGGCCATTGATGTATTTTGTATGCACGTCACGCTATGATTAAATGCCCTTCTGAGTTTGAAACTCTTCTTCCCCTGTAGTGCTGGTGACCTCAGGGACCCCCTTCAGCAATGGTGCCAAAGATTTCAAGGGCAGGCCTTCATTTCTTGACTTTCAAGCACGTGTACTTGCAGCAGTTGCTCTGCTTTGGGTAGCTTTGACTATGTCAGTTCTGCTGGAGAGACTCTGGCATACGTGAGCTTTCTAAGTGGCTTTTCATGATGGCCATAGCTTTGCTTGTTCTTCCTTTTTTTTTTTGTTGAAGCATCTATAGTTTTTTTGCTTTTCTGGATCCCTGCTTTATAAAGGACTAACTTCCCCACGTGCTCTCAAGGTATCATCAGCTGAATCAGCTGAATTGGAATACTTTTCTTGCTTATGCCTTCCAACCACTTGAAAATCTTCCTTTTCTTTTTTTTTTTTTTTTTGTTTTTTTCTTTTTTCCAAGCAGTTCATCTTGGCAGGCTTTTGGTTTTTTGGTTTTTTTTTTGCTTATCACAGTTCTTGTACTCAATTAATCTTCGGAGAGCAGCAGCATAATGACGGATTTCTCTTCCCTTGCCATCTGTGTGGGTTTTCAAAAGGTTGCGTGGTAGAACTTGAGATGCCTGACTATAATTGGCAGAATGGGGGCAATGTGCAGCAGTGCTGTGAGATGTGAAGTTTGGGGTCTCTGACCGTGAGCCCTCAGTGTGTGCTGGGCTCTGTGGGGCTGTGATTCCAGCCCTGGCAACCTATGCAACCTATGTGAGTCCCTGTAGCAGCATTGAGGTTAATGTTATAATGAAAAATAACCTCAGTGGTTCACCAGGGAACTCCTGAGCGTGGATCAGAAGATTTCCTTTTCCTAGCTGACGTGCTGGTAAATGGCATGTGAAATGATAGCATCCTTTTAGGCTGTCAAGAAATGTGGTAAGTGGGTTAATGAGGTTTCAGAAGGAATCTAATGGACTGCTGAACAGTTGGCAGGTGATTTTGTTACTGGGGGACTTAAAAGTGTTCTGTCGATGAGAAAGTTAAAAGCTGATTTGAGCACTTAAAGTTCTGTGTTGTACAAGAAGTGGAAGTGAAATAAGGAAGTCCACAGGCAGCAGATTGAGGAAAAACTCGAGCCAGTGCCTACAAGAAGCTGAATCCAAATGCTCAGTGCTGCAGAATGAAGCGGGAGTTTCTGACTGCAGTGATTACTGATGTTTCAAATTGTTTGTGCTCTGCTGGATTTAATTGAACCATGTTGGCTGTCATCAGTCACCTCTGTTTCCATGTGCTTTGGCACAGCTTCCAGAAGGATCTGTCTGCTCCATGATCTTACCAGGCACTGAGATGAGCCAAGCTGGCCTGTAGTTCCCTGGATCTTCTGTTTTTTTTTTTCCCCCTTTTTGAAGGTGGGGGTTATGTTTCTCCCTTTCCATTCTGTGAGAACGTCACTGGACTGTCACAGCTGCTCAGATATGATGGCTAATGGCTTAGCAACTTCATCTGCCAGTTCCCTCAGGTTCTTCAGATGCATCTCATAAAGTCCTGTGGGCTTCAATACGTCCAGGTTCCTTATGTGGTCTTAAACCTGGTCTTCTGCAGTAGGTTGTTCTTCATTCTCTCCCAGCTCCTGCCTTTGGTTTGTGCATACTGAGCAGTGGTTGGAGCACTTCTCAGTGAGGACTGAGGCCAAACATTCTTTGAGTATCTCAGCTTTCTCCATAACCCAGGTAACCAGGTCCATCATATTCTCAGGGAATGTTCTCTCTGCCAGCCTTAATTGCTGCCACCCAGGTTCCCTTTGTCATCTTCAGTGTATACTGCCTTCCCAAACAGCTTGGTTCTGTGCATCCCTTCCAGTACCCCTCTCTGCAGAGTGCTGAGGGTTGCTGTGTGCATGGCCTTGGTGCCACAATAGTGGTGTGCCTCGCCCCCAGGCGATGGAGTTGTATCATCCAGCTCAGTGACAAACTGATTACCATTCTGTTTTGGGAGCTCAGTAAAGAAGAACTGATGTTGTTGCTTTTAACATGAGGTGAGCCTTTTGTGATGATTAAGACTGTAATTTTTGTTTGTTTGTTTCTAGCTGGCTTACGAGTAGAGTTAAATCATGATGTCCTGTTACTTGTGCCATCTGAAATACATTCTTATTTCGGTCTGACCAAGGAATTTTGCCTTAAGCAAGAATTGCAACTCCTGCTTTTGTGCTTCTGTCTGATGTTTCTGTTCAGATGTGTTTTTGGAAACGTGATTACACAGATGATAGCAGTGAAATCTGTGAGGGGCTCACTGTAAAATGGCAATTCCTTGGGGTTTTGTGGCAGGTGGTGTTGGGGTGGCCAAAGTAGTACCACTGCTTCTACTTTTTTTTTTTTCTCCTTTCTTCCAGGTCAAGCACTGCAACTAGCAGAAACTTTTCTACCTCTTCAAAACCTTCAGCAAGTTCTTACTCCTCAGCATCTGCCACGTCTGTCATTACTAACGGTGATAGCAGTAATTCCTATGGACTGAGCAGCTCCAGCCTAGGCAGGGGGTAAGAGCTGCAATCATCTTTTGTGTCTTTGTCCTTCGTGTGAATACTGCTGCTCTTCCTTGACTGTATAGAAAACGACTGTGATGCTGCTTTGAGCAACTTAAATCAAACCTTGCCTTTGAGGCAATTAGGTTCTGCTGTTCCCTGCTCACTCAGAAGAGTAGCACATGTTCTGGTACTGCTAACTGCTAGAGCTTGGCCTGATTTTCAGAGGACTGGGGGTGTGAGGGAAAGGATTATATTCTTCTCTCCATCTGCCTGTGTGATAGCAGCCTTTCCAGGTGGAAACTGTAATTTCTTTACTAGCTCTAACAGCTCATCACACGAGCTCTTGCACTGGGTTGCTACACTAGCATGGAGTGCTGTGTACTTTTAGGCAGAGGAAATTAAAGTGTTCTGTGGCATGCATTAATAATAGACCCTGTAGTGATTAATGTTTCCAAAGTTAGTGTGTGTATCTCGTGATCCTGGTATCTAGTGCTAGCCACTGTGAGGCAGCAGCAATATGAAGGCTGGTGCCTTTCATTAATCAATTCTTTCACACGTTTGATGCAAGTCTTCAAAATGACCAAGGCTGGGTAGGCTCACTGCGGAGTACTTTGTGTCGTCTTTCTTTCAGAGGTTCTGGATTTGCCTGCAACTCTTACAGCAGCAGGGACTCAGCTTCCCTGTCCCAGCCCGGCCTTTGTGGACTCAGTAACCTTGGGAATACTTGCTTCATGAATTCTGCATTACAGGTAACGTTTGAAAAGAGCGTTCTTCAGATTAAGCACAAGAGCGATCTCATCTCACAGAGATTATGAGTCAGAATCTGTGGAAAGAAAAGTGCTTATGCAGGAATGGTCAGACGTGGAAAACGTTCTAAGCTGTGTGTGCAGCACTGGTGAGATGAGCACGCAGAACTGTGGTCTCTTGCAGACTTGGCATCATCAGGCTTCAGCATTACGCTGAGAAGCTTTTCTTAGGTTGATGAAGTATCAGTGGGAGTTACAGAACAAATTAACCAAAAATTCCTGAAGGAAAACCAAGTTGCTGCAGGCCAGAGAGCCTTGTGTGTCGTACTCTTGATAAACTGGTAGAAACTGCTCCAAAGAGAAGGGTTGCACTTGTGGACACATCTGCTGCATGAGAGTAGCCAGCGTGGCATCCACAAAGAGAAATGAGTCTCTTGAATGCTGTAGCCTTTGGTGTTTTAATTTGTTTTCCAGCCATGTTCCAGTTACAGTCGTTGAAGTATCCCGCCTTCCTGAGAGATTTTTTTAATTGTTAAATAGTCTGCTTCACCAGATTTGTTAAAACATCTAGCGTGTGTTCTGATGTGGAAGTTGGATTTGCTACTTCACTGTCACACAGATTTGTTGTACAGTGCAGTAAGTTCATTTCCTTAATGTTTTTTTTTTTTAGTGTCTGAGCAATACTCCTCCTCTGACTGAGTATTTCCTGGAAGATAAATATGAAGCTGAAATAAATCACAGCAACCCCTTGGGGATGAGAGGAGAAATTGCAGAAGCCTATGCGGAACTCATTAAGCAGATTTGGTCTGGGAGACAATCTCATGTGGCCCCACGTATGTTTAAAGTAAGTACTCTGTGTGCTCATGGTGTTGCACTTTGGCAGAAGAAGCTAACGTGCCTTCCACAAATTCTGGTGTCTTGAAAGCACTAGCAACAGAACTGCTTCAGTGTTACTTCATTTTTTAAGGAGCTATTTTTTGGAGTGGGGGAAGGAAGGAGAAGTGAGAAAGTAAGGTCGTGACCTGGAGTTGGCTGTTGCTTTTTACCACTGTGCCTTACTTAGTAAATGGCCTTCTAACCTGAGAGCTGTTTTTATATGCATCACCATGGCTGTTGGTACAAAACTAGGCAAGGTCATGAGCACTGCCAGCTGTTAATTTTCAGCAGCATGCAAGTTGTAAATGCAAAAGTGGAATGAGCAAGAAGCATTTCCTTGTCTTCTGTGTTGTCTGTTGGTTTGGTGTTGGCAGTGCTTCAGCACAGAGCTGCTTCCAGCTGAAACCCTGCAATGTAGCAGTAGTGTGCAACCACCCTAGGAAAATTTAAACTATGTGTTTTGTTCTAAATATGATGCAAAGGTGCTCCAGGACAATGTAATAAAAGCATCAAAGGAACATTAAAAGTGCTTCTGTAAGTGCAATCCCAGTAATGCGAAGAACAACATTCCAAATACATGAAATAAGCAATGAGCTGAAACTGTGAATTCACATCCTTTTGCTGGTTGAGTTTTGTGTGGCGTAGTGTCTAAGCTGAGTTATATGCTTTTGAGACCTGAAGCATAAGTGCTGCCTACAACAGAAATTGTCCTCTGTAGGGTCACAGGTGGCTCTGAAGCAGCAAGATGTTTTTAATGTCTGCCTCTTGAAGTTGGTGGCACACAGAATCACAGAATCACCCGGGTTGGAAGGGACCTCAAGGATCATGTAGTTCCAACCCCCCTGCCTGGCAGGGCCACCAAACATACACATTCAGATCAGGTTGCCCAGGACCCCGTCCAACCTGGCCTTGATGGCCACACCATCCTTCTTTATTAAAGTTACTCTGTAAACTGTTTGGAGGAAGTAGACAGTAGTGGGCATCTTTAAAAGTGTCTTACCGTTGGCTGTTCTTATTTAAGACTGGAGTAAGTGTTGCTTTTTATTTCCCAGTGCAGCATTACTTGTGCTGCTTCTAATATTGCTGCTGTGTTTCAGTATTTCAGCCCTTGGTTTGGATTTCCTTGCAGTTGTCACTGTGATTAAAATGTGCTGAGCATAACTCTAGAATCGTGTTTGGTGCCACGTGTTGGTGAGAAGATGAGCTGTGATCCTTTGGACAGAGCACTCCTTCAGCTGCTCGTTGGATGGAGTACCACAGAAAATCTGTTGTTTGTGAAAGCAGGAAGTTAAATGGCAGTGCTGTGATATGGCACTTGTGGTTTGGAGTAGCACAGGTTGTGTTTGGCTGCAGTGTTTCTGGCTCTTGCTACTCAGCCTGTTATATCTTCTAGGTTCATACCTAGCTGCAGACTACTGGTGACTCTTGGTTTCAAGCTTAGCTTTGAGCCAGTCAATGTTAGTTCTCCTGCAGGTGCTTTCTGTCTTCACCTTCAAGATGCTGTCATGCAGTAATTCTGCATTGTGGCTGTAGGCTTCTGAAATAAAGTAAAAAAATGCAACATGCACAGAAGTTTTCCATGCTCGCTGTTTGCAGGTTTGTGAATTAATATTCCTACTTCAGATCTCCATGTTGTAGCACTAAATACATTCATCTCCCGTAGTAGTTCAGGGATGAAGTGAAAAATGGTTGGTAAAATTAATCTCTGCACTCTCTACTTTGTTAGCATTCAGTTCTCTGGGGTCTGCTGCTAATATAAGGCAGCATGGGGTTTGTCTGGAAAAGCTAGGTTGTGTTTTTATCCCACTGTCTTTTGCATACAGCTTATACTTGTCCCCTCCAACTCTTGTGTTATGTTGCAGACACAGGTTGGCCGATTTGCTCCTCAGTTTTCAGGATACCAGCAGCAAGATTCCCAGGAGCTCTTGGCTTTTCTTCTAGATGGCTTGCATGAGGATTTAAATAGAGTGAAGAAGAAACCTTACTTGGAGCTGAAGGATGCCAATGGCAGGCCCGATTCGGTATGGTGCTCTTTGCTAGAGAACAGGACAACCAGTGCTCCTGAAGGAGTATAAGTTGGTTTTGTCATGCTTCCTGCCCACTAACCACAATAATGCCTTCCCTGCAAAGCCACTATACCCAGGAAGAGAGAATCCTGTTATGCCTTGTGGCCTAGATAGTTCTTCATGGCACCTTGCAGCACAAAGCTGTTGCTCTGTATTACAGCAGAGCTCTGTTCTTCCTGCCAAGCAAGAAAGTACCTTACCATACCATTCTGACATAGGTTTTCAGTGGAAAAGAAAGAAGTTTGAGCTTGTACTGAGCTTTTATATGACAAGTAGATTGCAGTTACCACTACAGCCTTGTCTCTTGACTACCTCATCACACTGTCAACTTCCAGGTAGTCTGGACAGCAGCTGTCAGCATCAATTTGAGGCAGATGCTGTCTGTGGACTTTGGGAGTGGGGATGCATGTGGAAGTGCAGGGAGACTCTAAAGAAATTGTCTGAATGAGTGCCCTGGGTTGTAAGCAGCGTTGTGGTAAGCAGCACTCAGGCTGGGGTACTCAGCTGTTCTCCCTTGTGGCCTCTCGATGTGTGTAACCTGTGAAGTGTTACATTGAGGTTGTATGAAAGGTCTGGACAAAGCAAAGCCAGAGCTAAGTTTTATGCAGAGTTGAATCACTGTAATGTGGTCCTGCTGTGGATCTGGATGAATTCTTAATGTTCAGTGAACCAGCTGCATCTCCTGCACAGGCTTCTCCTGATTCTTCCTCCTTTCTGGTGCTGTGGAATGGATATAAAAGCAGTTTTACACACTTGGGGTCCAGTTACCTACTCTACAGGGGTACAGGAAAATGATTCTTTGATGCCATTTCTTGACATAGGCCTGAAAAATCTCATGGTCGTTTTTTCCTCTCTACCTTTATCCTCTATCAGTACTGGTATGAGTACTGGTACTGGTATGAGAGCACCTTACAGACACTTCTGTTTGTCTGAAGTTGGCAAATGCTGTGCCCGCATTGAGATGAGACACATAATAGTGGAATGTCTTTCTGTAGGTGAAATCACATTCCTCTTGATTGGGTTTCTGACTTTTGTCATGGTACAAACAACTGCAGTGTACTGACAGGTGCAGAATCCACAGTAAATACACAGTCAGGGTGGCAGTAATGCTCATAAAAGCCAGGTAAAACAGTTTTTATTATTGTTTTTTTAGGAAGTATATGTGACTATTTATTTTTCCACTTACCTGACAATAGCTTATAGGTTTTTTTTTTGCTTTTTTATGCAAATGGCAACAATGCTTGAAGTATATTTATTCCTTTTTTCTCCAAGCAGTGGTGGTGGGTGGGGTGAAGAGGACACCCAGCTCTGCTTCATTTTCTTTCGGTGCTTCCACTTCCCCTGATGCAGGAAGTACACAGATTTCTGCCTTGTTTTCAAACTGCTGTACTTCTAGCTTGATACAGGGCCTTAGTTTCACTGTGAAAAATCCAGGAGTGTTAGGCTGAAAATAGAGTGTACACCCCCCTTTCTATGAAGATTTTCTCTGTATGTATTGACTTCCTGAGTTTGCTTCCATCCCCATGCTTGCTGTGCCTCGTGTTTGTGAGAGTTAATACTTAATTTCTGTTCTGTAGGTGGTAGCAAAAGAAGCCTGGGAGAACCACAGACTGCGGAACGATTCTGTCATTGTGGATATTTTTCATGGTCTTTTCAAATCTACCCTTGTTTGTCCCAAATGCTCCAAGGTTTCTGTGACCTTTGATCCCTTCTGTTACTTAACCCTTCCACTGCCTTTGAAGAGAGATCGTCTCCTGGAAGTTACCCTGGTGTTTGCAGACCCGCAGCGCAGACCTGTCCAGGTGAGGCATGGCTAAGGCAGGAATTTCTTTATCCCAGTCTCTTCCTCTTAGGTTTTAAAGAGGTGGCTTAACTTTTCCTGTGGTGAGGTTACCTATGTGATACACTGCTCTGTGAAGGCAGGAATACGTTTGCATGGTCACGTTTGCCTTATATTACCTTGGAAGAATGCAAAGGTGAAGCTTCTCTAAATGAGTAAGGATTTTCAATTTCATACAAATGGGGGAAAAAGTCTCTCTTGTAAAAAGAGAGGTATGATTTGATTACTTTAAAAGCCTGCTTTTTTCTGAGATAGGTACTGGTATCTACTTTTCTTTATTTCAAGTGAGCCTGTAGGTGAGCACACACACAAAGTAGCCTTGTAGTTGCCATGCTTGTGCACAAGATCTGTGGCACCCAGAAGCTCTAATGGTGGATAGACATTTACCAAAGGAAAAAGTAAAGCAGCTTTTGAGGTGTTGCTTGGCAGTATTTGCATATGTTGTGCATTAGAACCTTTGATTTATATAGAGTGTCATCTTGGGGGTAAGGGGTTGGTAGACGCAGTGGTGATGTATGCTAAGTTGGTGGTGAATTTTGATTCTGCTTTTTGTACAGCTGTGAAGTCAAGGAGAGCTGCACTCATCACCAAGGTTTTGTAAAGAGAAGGAACAGAAGAGGGATTCACTGAAGAGATGGGAAACATAAATGAGTAGCATAGGGACTGAAAGCCTAAATTGTGCTTTGAAGAATTGAGATAAACCAAAGTTGCAGCAGCTGGAGCTCTGCTGGCTGAACTGGCCATGTTCAGTCTCACATCCCCACCTGCTGTCCTCCTGACAGCAACTCTGTGCGTTTTGTGATCTCCCAGTTGGGATGCCAGAGGTATGCACCACTGCCTTTCACCTCTGGTGTGTGACACAGGAGAAAAAGTGTCTCCACTACGTGGGTTGTGCTAAGGGGAAGTGAACTGTAAGCCTGTGATGGCCACGGGTGAGGGTACAGATGGATGGCATAACCCAGAAGATCCTGGTGAATAATAGTGAAACATAACTCCTTGTAGTCAAGGCAAGTGTGCTCCATGTGGCTCCCTCAAGTGTGTGCGTGCCTTTGAGTCCTTCTCTAAAGCATACGGTTCTGATTCCCAAAGGAGGAAAGGCTGGCTGTGACCTTGAGCAGAACTAGGCATTCCAAGCTGTGTTTTCGGATCCATGCTCTTTGTGTACACAAGTTTGTTTTGCCTTTGCTAAGCATTATCTCTCTTTTTAGTACCGGGTTGTGGTGCCAATGATGGGGGCCATCTCAGATCTCTGCGAATCACTCTCCAAACTTTCTGGGGTTCCTGCAGAAAACGTAAGGATAAATGCAGTGTGGTGACATTGATAAATCTTTGCTGTTCTAGAGGCATTTTGATGTCTTAATTTTTGAATGTATAATGAGCTGAAGGATATATTTCTGTTGTTACTCCTTGAGAGGTTTGAATGCAATTTTTGACTGAAAAATATATATAAAAAAAGGCATGGAAATCATCTGTTCAGCCACCCACCTCCCTCTCTAGTGTTTCTGACACTGTAATTTCTTAGTAATGTGAGTTGCTCAGCCTGTTTTGAGGCCACCTCCCCTTGGGTGTCCTTATAATAACAAAGGAATTGGGTGAGCTTTTTATAAAATGAATGGTTTTGTAGGTGATGGGGGAGATTTTTCAGGATATCAGTGTAACACTTCAATTTATGTCAATATTTAGCGAGTTATAGATGGAGTGGTCTTTGCCTAAAATGTTAGATTTGAGCTGTTGTTGCCAGCAGACAGACTTGCAGCTGTAGTATCTCATCTCTTCAGTACCTCTGTAAAATCAGTCTGTCACTTGCTTTGTTTTTCTGATCCACCTTAATGAAAGCAGCTGATGAGCTCTTGGTGCTGTTAAGGAAAACAGAGCACTGATGCTACAGGTGCTGAAAATTCTCATGGGGAAAAAAAAACACAAGTGTTGCTTGAATTTAGCAGGCATGAATTTATGTAAATATTTACTACAGTCTCTTTGCAACTCTCACTTGCTGTTCCAGATGGTGGTGACAGATGTGTATAACCATCGGTTCCACAAAATCTTCCAGGCGGATGAAGGTTTAAATCACATCATGCCGAAAGACGACATCTTTGTGTGAGTAAAGTGGGAAGATGCCACGATGCAGAGAGTGCTGAGAACCAACGTGGGTGTTACAGCACCCAGCTAACCATGGCAGGGGTTTTGCTGTGTCTGTGTCCAGCTGCAGAGGACTTGTTTTGGGGAGCATGGGCGCCTGTGGTGAAGCTGAGGGTTCAGTTGTGCTTGATGTTTCCAGTGCATGTGGTGGATGAGACAACCTGGATCGTCTGAGTGGAGAGCAAAGGTCGTGTTCCTCTGTAGCAGCTGGTAAAAGATGGGAAGTACAGCGCATGAAATGCAAAGCAGACTTTGGAGTTAGCTGCTGAGCCTGGAGCTTGTGAGGTCCAATGAGATCCCCATCAGAAGCCCCCTCTTTCTCTTATGAGATAATCCACTGCAAGCTTGCTGTTTGTATAAAAGCATTGTGCAGTGGTGTCCTTGGGTGCAGTGAGTGGGATGCTGTGATGTGCTGTTTGGTGCTGTTCTGTCCTGCTATCTGTTGTGAACTCGCTGCTGAGGAGTCATGCCAGACTGTTTCTGAAAGTTCCTGTCGTATCATTTGTTTTCTTCAATTGCAGCTGAAGATCAGGCTGGTTAAGGTGCTATGAAGGGCATTTGGTGTCTGTTTGTTGGGATATTTTAAGGCGTTAAGTTGCAAGCAAACCTTTCTCCATAACTTACAAAATGTAGAAAAGCAAGAAGGATGATGTTATAGAGATCTTTCCTTAAGTCCAGCATGGAGATGCTCCTTGCTGCCCCTCTCCCAGCAGGGTACTCTTCCTTTGAGGAGCTAGGAAATGGCAACAAAGATGTTTTCCTAGGTGTGTAACCTGTTGCATGTTCCTTCTCAGAAAGCTGCTGTGTCTGAGTTCATCTCTGCTCCTGCACTGAACCAGAAGCATTAGCTCAACTGCAGCCCTGTGTGTGTTCATTTGCAGTCGCTGTGAGGCCGTGCTGAGAGTCGCTGTGTCCTTGTGTGGAGGCCTGATTGTAAATGAGGCCGTGCTGTGAGTCACAGCAGTGAGCTGACCTGGGTTAAAAATAGCTGTGCGAGGAAGAAGAGAGACAGCAGGAGGAAACCTGGCTAATCCTGTTTTTCCATGGAACCCTCTCAAGATGTTTTCAGCAGCCTGGAGCGCCTCTCTTATGGAGACAGGCTGAGGGAACTGGGGGTGTGCAGTGTGGAGAGGAGGAGGCTCTGGGGAGACCTCAATGCAGCCTTCAGTGCTTGAGGGAGCTTATAAGCAGGAGGGGGGCTAACTTTTTACATCATCTGATAGTGATAGGATATAATGGAATGTGTTATCCTTTGATACAGCTGAGAAATATTTTCTTTCTTTTAAGTCAGTGAGGAAAACTTGAGTGCCTTCTAGAAAGTGTTTTGCTCTTTGGGTTAAAGTCACCTCTAGCTCTGCAGAGAAGGGGTGGAAGAAGAGTTGATTCATATGACTGAAGCACGGCTCTTGTGCCTGCAGAGTCCACAGAGTGCTTGTCATGGAAAAGATCTTGTGCTGAGAGGTGATGTAGTTGGGTGTATATGCTGTTTGCACTGTATGGTGCGTCTCTTTTCTGCTCCTGAAAGAAAACTCTCTTTGTATTGATTAATGAAGGGCAGCAGCTGCCTTGTATTAGAAAGTATGTGTAGTGTTTTAACAGCTACAGCAGTTTCACCCCAAATTCACAAATTAAAAAGCCAGGGAAGGGGGGGGTAACACAGTCACCGTCCAGTCTTTATTTTGCACTGTGTTTACAGTGAGTATTGCCACAGAATAAACCCCAAGAAGACTTTCTGTGGTGTTGAATGGGACTGGGAAGGTCACAATTTATATGCCAGCAACTCTGTAGGCTGTTTGTTTATTGTGGTAGGAAAACACTGTTTTTTCCCTAAGATTTGTTCAAATCACTGGAGTGCCTCATGTAATAACGTGAGTCACAGGAGAGGTGAGTTTTCTGATATTGCTCCTTCTGCTAGAATCAGATGAGAAATCTGCCCCATTTCAGGACATTGTGCCTGCAGTGCAGCAGAGCTGATGGAGAGGTACGGCCCTCAGCTGAGGAAAGAGGTACTGGAGTGGGAGATCTGCTAATGATGGTACTACTTGCATGGTATATTCTCAGGTACAAACCATCAGGAGGGTTTGAAGTTGATACATGTAGCCCAGAATACGACTTGAGGACCACGAGCTCATTTAAATTAAGGATCTTTTCTGGAATCATAAGGCCTTTTGTATTTAAATGCATGTAATATTCACCATCTCAGATGCTCAACCTATTTCCTCTTATATACTGACCATCTGCTCTTATTTTCCCCTTGTGTTCAGTGGTTTGGCCTCCTGCTGGCATGCTGTAATGAGTACATCTAATCATCGTGTTTTAGGTAACTGAAGTTAGACGGAAAGTTTCTTTCACTGGAAAGGGCTCAAAAGTACGAGTAACTGAGCAATTCTAGACTGAGTTTAATCAGTACAGCATATTCAGAGAGAGATTTCTCAGATGCACATTCTCAAAATTTGTATTTAAAAATTGCAAAATTCTCAGTGGGATCCCGTGGTGGGTTTTTGTCCCTTTGGATTTTGCTGGCTGTTGTCATTCATTTGTTTTTCCTGATCTCCACAGCAAGGAAACAGGGAAGCTGTAATGATCTGAAGTTCATCCCTGCCTCTTACCAGCACTTAAATCATCCTTTTACCCTCTCAATAGTGTCCTCATCTGAAATGTACTCCACCCTCCCACTTGAAGAAGCAAAACAAGGTTGTGTTAATAGTTGCCTGTGGCTGTTTGCTAGAGCTTGAGACTGCAGAGAACCAGCCTGCAGTGCCTGGGGGAGCTGTGAGGCCCCAGGGTTCCTGTTTCACCAGCAGCTGCCATCCCAGTGGGTGTCCTCATGCCCTGAGGCTCAGTGCTCAGCTGATTGCCCTCTGGGTGGGCAGCAGAGCAGGAGGGGCAGGCTGCTCCTTTTACAGGACTATGACATTATGATATTATTTTACGAGTGGTTTTCTTGGTATGGGAACCGAAGCTGTTAGCTGATGCCCTGGTGACTTTTATTTTTTGTAAGAGAAATAAGGTGTAATGGTTTCTGAAGCTTTAGGGCCTTATGGTAACTTAACTTGGCAGCTTTTGCCTTCTGTCCCATTCTCAGCACCACCTTAAGTTGCCTGAGGATGGAGATGTGTCAGTATCAACATTCAGTCTCCTGCAGTATTTTCTCTGGCTTTGCTGAAAGCAGTGGCCAAATATGGGGCTGCATATGAGAGCAATATCCCATTGCTTTGACATACTTCTGGTTTTAGAGTGCTGTGTGCTAGCCAGCTAGTGAGCTAGCCAGCCAGTGAGCTGCATGCATTTCCATTTGGAAAGCAGGGAGACATCTCATACCATAGATCTGTGCCCCTTGGGCACACTGGGTACTGCAGTACTAATACTGGAATTGTTGCTGTCCTGCTTTTGGCAATAGTACGTTTGATTTCTTGCCTTCAGATTTAGGTCCCTGTATGGGTTGCTTCCTGAGCACAGTGTCACTTTCCACGCAGCGCTGTGCTTAAAGAGTCACTGGGTGGAACTCATGCAGCACGGAGCAGCACTGCAGCTCAGCTGTGCTTTGTTCTCTCACTGCCAATTGCTCGCAGAGGGGAAGGGCCTGCTGGTAGAGGCATTTAAATGTAGACCATACTGTTGAAATAATGAATATATGTGAAAGGTCCTGTACAAATATTGAGCTTGCACATCCTAAAAGATATTTTAGTGGTGAGAAGAGCTGTGTTTTGGTGTTTGTTTTTTTTTCTATTTTCACTTCAGAGAATGGGGAAGACAGGTCAGCTTTGTGACCTTGCAGTGCACCTGGATGTTCTGAGACATGCACAGTGAATGGTCACCTCCTACCAAAGCAGTGGGAGATGTGGAATTTTGATGCAGGTGGAAGAAGGAGACTCCTTGGGCTCCATTTGGAATTGAAGCTGAACTGACAGCCGTTCTTAAAATATCTGTTCTGAATGGCTGTGATGTGCTTTTCCTTCCAGCTGGTCTGTTCCTGGTTTACTCATTCTTGTTGTGTATCACCTATTGTAATAGTAGAAGAGGAAGAAAAGTGAATGTTACCGGACTTCCTGTTTTTTAAGTGATTTTATGTAACTCATATGGATCCACGTGCAAGAGGACAACAGCACACGTGTTTTTCTCCAGAGAAGGATGGCTTGGAATTATGATTCTCCAAGCCTTATGCGCTTCTCTTTCTAATCATGGCAGGCTTGGAAATGAAGTATTGCCCTGCTGCAACATTTGGTAGCGTTTAGCAGCAGAGCAGAGGGTAGGGTAGGTGCTGAAATAGCGTTTTGTTCTAGATATAAAGTAGGGCCTCTGGCCTGACACGTGGGACAGTGCAGCCAAAGCACAATGGCACTAACCCACTTCTCAGCAGCACTGTAAATTATTCTCTGGAGGCATGATATTCCTGTGGAAGCTCAGAGAGATCTGTGGCAAATGACCAGGAAGTCACTGTGTAAAGGTGGTCTGCAAATCAATTTGACAAAACGAGCCCAGTGTTTGTGCTGAATGCTCTCCTTCTCCAGGCTAAGCAGGGCGCAGCGTTCAGCACGTCACTGCAATGCTCACTATTTCTTTCCCTTAGGTTCCGTGAAGTCCAACCCCACTATAGGACCTCCGGCTCCCGCTCCAATCTAACACCCCCACATGTACCATGCTGGTGATGTCACATCACCCAGAGATCCTGCTGGAGCTCGGAGCCGGCCTACAAGGGGTCAGGTAAGTGCCACCCAAAGGCAGCCTGCACAGCCCTTATCTACTTGAGCAGGACTCAGTATTTCTTCTTAGCTCCTAAGGCCTGAGAAGAAAAACTCTTAGATTCATAAATTGGATGTCTCTGATCTCTTAGCCTGGCTAATGGGGCGTACAATATAACGTGTGTAATTCACACTGATGGAAGTCTCACAAATTGATTTGCAGGTCACCTTTAACCTATAAAAGTCATATAAAATATATGTTTGGTTTGCCATGAGTGTATATGTTTGCCTTGTCTTACAACATGCTTTGTTCTACGTTTAGGTAAGATCATGGTCTTGAAAACCACAGCTGGCTGCAGGCAGGGCAGATTTGTCACCGTGACAAGCACAGCAGCTATTGCACTGAGTTGCATCAGCAAACTGCCTGGTGTGACATGTTTGAGATAGCTGAGACTGCAGCAGTTTGATCTAGGAAAGTGATTGGTAGTTACTTTGAAATATCCTTTCTGAAGTGTGCTACTTTAACTTGGAAAAATGATGCTGGTTGAATTCCCTCATCCTTTTGCTTGTTTTCTCGGTTGCTGTTGTTATACCCTGACCTGTGATCCATGCAGTGTTTTCCAGTTGCGTTTGATGTTATTTACATCACAGCATTTTGGAGAGAGTTATGGTTAATATATCCATGCATTAGGTTGGCATCTAGCTGAGAGCCTTTCCTGCTAGTAGTGACTTTTCATATAGTCCTTCTGTAGTTTTTCATGCTCCCCTGCATTTGCTTAACATTAATTTACCAGGAGACAAGTTAGCTGCTTCATTGCTCAGCATCCCCTTTCTGAGTGGCAGCCATAGCCTGAAGCTTCCTGGTGCTGTTTTGCAGGATGAAGGCTAGTCAAAGCCGTCCTGCTCTACTGTCACTTAGCTGCTTTCAGGCACTTTGCAGACCTGTCATGAATTACTAACGCAGCTGGCCAGTGCCCGTCAGTTGTATAGACTGATGCAGCCCTATAGGCTTATAGTATCAGCTCTGCTGGTTCTGAGACATCTCTAGTGCTAGAGTACAAGCTGTTCTGTGATGGAGTAGACAGAGGGCCACTTTCCTAGTCAGGAGTTTGTGAGGTGTTGTTTTGGGGGATGTTGCAGGCTGTTTGTGAGAGATATATGAGTAATCCTTAGCTTTTTTATCCCATCTGTGCCGTCACAGAGGCAGGGCTTAGTTCAGGACCTGTGTGAGGATGGAGTATTGCTGGGGCTCCTGTGATCAGCACTGCAGGTGGTGTGAGAGGCAGTCATTGGAATGGTGAGGAATACAAGCACCTTGGACATGTTATGTACTCATCTGCTTGGTGGGAGACCAGCTCAGAGGGTCTCCTAGAACCTGCAGTTAACTGTAAGTAATACACTGTAACTGAGTTAATGTTGTGTTATGGTGCTAAGTGAAGTAGTTCTCTTTATAGTTGCTTCTCAGGAAACTTCAGAAGGTCTGGTGCTGTTGTCTAGCTGAATAGCACCAACAGCATAGAAAACATCAATGGCCGTTCTTAGTGAACCGTTAGATCCACTTTTTGTCGCTTGTGTTCTTGGAGGGGTATTTTTCTTCATGGCCTCAGGCTGGGAGCAAGGCTTTTGTTTGAGTAGAACGGAACAGAACTGCAACTCTGCAATTTGTTCCGCTCCATCCTCTGCAAGGGTGTGCTGAACAGGGGCAGAAACCTGTTTCTTGGCTCTTGCAAGAAAGGAAGTGGCATCCCTAATGTGCAAGAGCTGTTGGTGTGTCACCTGAGTGTCATCTCAGTTATGTGTAGTGACAACTTCCATGAAATCTCTTTTTTTTCAGTTTTAAGATGGGTCTGGGACAGGTGACTCACAAAGCTAAAGAGCACTATCGCTTGGACATCCTGAGGATAAGTCCTTTGTAATGAATGGTCTTGAAAGCCACGTTGGGAGCGAGAAATGCAGTAAAGTTGGACCACGTGGTTTCTTCTGACTCTCCTATCTGTGAATATCTGATTTTGCTGTTGCATCCAGCGGCACAAATTGCAGTCAGTCTTCTCACTGCTCTCTGGAGCTGCTTTTCTTCCAGAATGTTCTTGCTGTGTGCACTGCTTTTGGATTTTTCTGCAAAGCAGGTGTTTTCAAGCTCTTGGTTTTCTGGAGTCCTGGCTGGTTGTGGTGTAAGCTCAGACCTGTAATGGTACAAGAGGCTGAGGGGGAATGTAAGACCCCAAGGAACTGAGAAGATTTCTTTCTCCAGACAGAGCAAACATTGTCTCAGTGATCTAAATGTTCACGTAGCATCTTCTCACTGATCCCATGATCTGATTGAAACATCTGATTGTCAGAGTAACGTTTGGGGAGGTGAGCGGTAACACAGATGTGAATTAAGAGCAAAAGGCAGAGGGAAGGTGGCAGTCAAGTTGATGGCAGGTATGTACCCTGTGCCATTGTGAGCCATGGGAAGCGGGCAGGAAGCAGCTGTGTCTGTGCCAGGAAGGCCAAAGTACAACCTGTATTGTCCTCAGGAGATCCTGGTTGAGAGAACTGTTGGACTGACTTGATATTGGTTCTGCCTGCTGCGCTTCTTGGCAGTAGAAATAAGTAACTTGTGGACATACCTGTCTTTCAAACAGATACGAAGTCTGCAAGCCAAGTGAAGATGGCTCAGAGTACATTACTTTCTCTCTTTACTTTCGGGAAAAGGCAGTGAGGCAATCCAGCAGCACTTCAGGGACCATACTCTTTGGTCAGCCACTGCTGATATCTGTGCCAAAGCACAAGCTCACTGTGGATCACTTGTATGGTGTTGTTTTGGAGCAGATCAGGTAAGTCACATCTGTACTTTAGTGCAAAATTCTAGTGTTAGCTTGCTGAATTAGACTGTAACAGGATCACTGCATCCTTTTTGATAGCAAGATTTTTTTCCTTGATTTGTTTGTGGAGTACCAACCAGTATTTGCATTGTGCTAGTGCCTGGAGGCCACAGGGACCTCCTGAAGTGCTGGTTGTCTGGGCTCTGTAAAAGCTGACTGTAAGATAATACTGGTGGTGGTCTCATGGGAAGTTACCTGCTTGGTGCTGCAAACCAGATTAGGAGCAGCGCTTGGGAAATATTGTGAGGGCTCTCACGTGGGCCACCGTAACCTATTTTGGTTTCCTATCTAATGCTTGTAAGACTTGGTACAAGCATTGAGAACATAGACTTACTGAGCTGTTTTTGTTTGACTCTCTGAGAGTTGAGAGTTTTGATGCTGTGTGTGGTGAATTCTGGTTCGCTGAGGGGGTTGACAGGCTGCAGTTCTTGTGATGTACAGTTCTGTTACAGCTGTGTGATTCAAATGTTCCCTCTGTTTAGTCGCTACGTGAAACTCCCCGTGGCAGAAGAATACTCCACACCTTGCCCAGGCAGAGGAGCGTGCAATGGCTCCAGCAGTGTGGCTGAAGGTAAAGTCTTCTCAGAATGGCTTGGAAGCTTTTGTTATCATGTTGTTTGTGCTGTGTGTAATTGGCTTGGGCTCCTGCAGATAGTTTTTAGCACTATGTGATGATTACATTGCACTGTGGCGTAGGGCTGCCTTTCTATGAAGACAACCAAATGCAGCTTTTGTCTCTTTTGGGATGTTTATTAGAGTGTGCTATCAGGTAGTGTGATGTGCTAAGCTGTGTTGAGTATATTTCCTCATGTCTGGCAGGAGGATGTGAACCCTGATGTTTTACCTGGCCTTGGTAAAGGATAAAATACAGCTTCAGATGCAGTCGTTAGCAAGCACAGATTTATTCTTGTGTGTTTCTTGTTTATTTCTAAGTGATCTGTGCACATCATAGCAGTCTTAAGCAAGCAGCTGTCAATGTGAGGTGTCAGTCTAAACTTTTCCCTGAAAGTCATCAATACTGGGCTTGTTTTAAATTTTGCCAGGTGACATTGAAGAGATGGAGCATCAGGATGATGGACAGGAATGCAGGGAGAAGCTGGCAGAAGTTGATCCCTGCCACTCTGAGGGTTGCATGCAGGTTGAACCAACAAGAGACGTGCAGCCTTGTAAGAAGCAGCATTTCACTTTTAGCCTTGTGAATTTATATGGGACCTCTGAGATAAACTCCATTGTAGAAGGAAAACTCTTGAAATTGAATGGTAATTATTGTCCTGTTACAGTTTCTCTTCTTCCTCCTTACACCAACAAATTGGCAACCAAAGTTTTTCTTCTTCTAGCTTTTTCTACACTTGCTGTTGACTGGGATTCTGATACACGGAGGCTGCTCTTTGATGAACAGGAGGCACAGGTTGTAGTATGCTCTTTTCATAAGTATTCTGTGTGTAAACTTAGTACAAGGCATAGTACACAGCATGATACTTCAATAGATCACAGTAATAAACAGTTGAAGTTGTGTGTCCCCTGCATAGAGTTGGAGTCAACAACATGGGGTGAGTTGGTTGTGACAAGGACTACAGGTTTGTTATTGATCTGCCACCAGCATTCCTGAAAGTAGATACTTTAATTTCTATTTGTGTAGTTCATAATCCACTGAAATTAATAAAAAAAGGGAACCATGCACACAAACCATCTTCCTTACACTTCTTACCAACAGACCACACTTGAACGATTGAGTGGCTTGGAGACAAGAGCTGGCTCACTTGAAAGTCAGAATCGACTGCGATTACTCCTCTGGGAGTTGGTAGCTTCTTTGCCCCACTGTCATTTTGGTTTCTGTCAATCATTTAAGTACATTTAGCATATGCCATAATGATTTAGCATTTGTTGAGTATTCTTAGTGTCATGCAGTGTGCTTGAGCAATGCTGTATGTTTGCACAGCTATCTTTTTCTAGGAGTTTCATAACGTAGTCAGAGAGCAGTTCAGGTTCAATGGTCTGTTTGTCACCAGGCTATGCAGATTGATATTTAATTTTTGCTCTAGCTATCGTAGAACTACGTTGAGTGTTTTTTATCTGCTTTTGTGTTTCCAGGCTCTTTCACACCTTCTAAGCTTATTTTTGTACTGAGGAAATGCTAATTCTGGTAGATGCTAGTCCTATTTTATGGCTGCTAGAGTGTGAGGAGTTGTAACTTCATCGGGGAGCATGGGGAGAGTGGTAACTGAGGTGGAGGAAGTGCAAAGGACTGTTCACAAAGCAAGGAAGGGATGGCTGGAGGCTCGGGGTATTTGTGTGGGCAAAGGGGGCTGGGAACCACCAGCAGTGTGAACTTGGGCACGTTATTTTCACAGTGGCAGGGATTAAAGTCTATGTGAATTGAGTAAAACATGCATCTCTTTCACTAGGCGTGTGAAAAGCATGCAAGTGTGTTACAACCACAGAAGATGAAGGCAGTGGTAGCCCTTAAAGACTGTATAGAGCTCTTTACTACAATGGAAACTCTTGGTGAACACGACCCTTGGTAAGAGCTTTCTCCCTTTTTATATACTATAAAATGCTGTAACTGCTTGAGCTCATGATTTGTCCCAGGATTCTGGTGATTTCTCAGGTCTGTCTTTTAGTCTATGGGAGATGTCTCTTCTGTGGTCAGTTCACTCAGTAGGCTGTAGGCATGGGCTAATGGAGAGTGGTTTTTTTCCTTGTTTCCTGCTGCCTTTAAAAAAGGCACTGTGTATGTAGAGATCTATTTTTAATTCCCCACCATACGTCTGTCTTTCAGACAGCGTCGGAAGAAGCATTTGTGGTATCAGTGAAAGCAGGTGGCTACTTAAAGGTTTTGCACTATTTTATTTCCAGCTTGTGCCAGTCTTGAGGCACTCTTAGTTTTGCCTAAATCCCCAGTCCAGTAGGATGTTCTACCAACAGAGTGAAAGTAAGTGGTAGCTTGGAAACCTCCAAGGAATTACATGTTCCACAAGCCAAAAGGGGCTTCTGTGAGGTAGGGACTGAACCACATTACTGACGTATCCTCTGACTTCTTTCAGTTTTCTTGTTTGTACTTTTTCCTCAGGTATTGCCCTAACTGCAAGAAGCATCAGCAGGCCACAAAGAAGTTTGACTTGTGGTCTTTGCCCAAGATTTTGGTAGTGCATCTGAAACGCTTCTCATACAGCAGATACTGGAGGGATAAACTCGACACTGTTGTGGAATTCCCGATCAGGTAGGATCCTTCCTTTGAGCCAGTCTTCATACAAAGAGCTGGTCAAGAGGAATCTAGTTCTGATGCTTGATGTTGTGTGAGCTCGTTATTAATGCTGTAACTGGGACAGATCTGTCTTATGGCTTTGAGCTACAAGACAGCAGGCATGAATTGGTAATAGCCTCCAGGTGCAGGACACATCAGCAGTTTGCCTGCTGCTCTAATCCCTATTGCTCTGCTACTGGGCAGATGGAGTGGGCCAATATATTACATGTTAGAGTCACTCCTAGGAAGGCCAGGAATGTGCATCAATTCTGACTCAATCTTTTTTTTTTTTTTTTTTGTATGGTTAGTCTTAACATTAATCTGTTCCACGCATCTCAAAGAACACCAATTAACAGGCGGGCATTGTTTCTTTTGGGAAAAAAAAGATTAAAACGATGGGTTTCCTGCTGAACCAGATGTATACAGAGAATTGAGGAAACTTATTGTGCGGTGTTGTTTGTAGTCCTGAATGCTGCAAAAGTATGAGATGAAAGCCTGCCTCCTCCCCTGCCTTCTGCTTGTCAACATTCTGCAACAGGATGCTGGTGTTCTTTGCTACTTCTCTTTTACTTTTTACTCCACAGGGACATGCTCAGAGTTGGTTTTCATTCGGCACCTCCTTCTCAATTGTTTTGCAGCACCCCATGAGTTTAGCAGGACCTGCCTTGTGTTGGCCGGCCGATGTTTGGGTCTCTGTGCTGATAACTGTTCAACATGAGAGCACAACACGTAGCTTCACCAGCGCTGCGTGCTAACAGAGCTGCACTGATGTGAAAGTGCAGACTGTTGGCATACTGATATTTTTGGATTTCCTTCCAGGGGTTTAAACATGTCTGAGTTTGTCTGTGACCCAAGAGGAAGCTCCTATGTCTACGACCTCATTGCAGTTTCCAATCACTATGGAGCCATGGGAGTAGGCCACTGTGAGTCCCTTTTTTTTTCTGTTCTTTCCTGCAAGGACTTATGCTGGGGGGATGGGAGAAGGGCTCTGTGCACTGTGATTTACAGCAATCCTCACCAAAAGTTTCTAGTACAGCGTCAAACATGAAACTGTGGAAGGCTAACTCTTGGACAGCCTTGCATGGTTGGTTTGAGATTTGAATGTTACTGGTGCGGTGCTTCCCTGAGCTGCAATTTCTTCTCCCAACAGACACTGCCTATGCAAAGAACAAGGTGAATGGCAAGTGGTACTACTTTGATGACAGCAGTGTATCGTTGGCTTCAGAAGACCAAATAGTGGTGAGTACTTGGCCTGAAGATAATCTGAGTTTGTGCTAAGGGTGGCTTCTTGCTTTGGGCATTGTATTTCTAGCCAGCCTACATGGATTATTTCAGTCTTTCAGATTCTTTGTCTTTTTGTTTGGTAGACAAAAGCTGCATATGTGCTGTTTTATCAGCGCCGAAACGATGAGGAACATGTTGCCCCATCTCCTCCCCAAGAAGAGTGTGATGGCATGGATACCAACTAAGCACCGCCTCCAGCACTCGACCACCATGTTAGAGGTCCCTCCTGAAGCCACCTCTGAGGCATCTGAAGTTTTTTCTCTCTTCTGTAGGAGTCGAGCAGAAAATCTAGCACTGAAAGATTTGGTGCTTGGGGTTACAAAACAGCACTGGAAAGCCAGGAATAGGTGCTGAATCTCAGATATTTAGAGGCCAAAAATAATATATATTGGAGCTTTGATAAAGTTCTTTTTAAACTCTGTCTGAGCTGTGTGGCTTGAGGCAGGGGTCAGGGCTGAGCCGGGGCTGTGGGACCTGGGTTAAGGTCTGTAGCTGGGGTTTGGGTAGTATAGCCTGAATCCGAGGTCACAGCTGAGTGTGGTGGGGCCCACAGAGGAGCACAGTGGGTAGGATTCTGTGAATTGATGCAGGGGCTTCCTGTCAACCCTGTGGAGTTGCTGACGGGCTCTGCTTGTGTCAGTGAGGCTTGTGTACCCTTTCTGGAATCTCTCAATTCAAATCTTTGTAGTTCTGGCTTGTCTGTTGCCACCTCTGCCATTGTACTTTGGTTCCCTTGATAAACACCAAAGTTTCTCTTACTTGCGTCCTTTCATTTGTGGATGCACTTGAGACTCTTGTGGGCAGTTCTTACTCAGCCTCTGTTAGCGACAGTACAAAGGGGAATGGCTTTAAGAGGGGAGATTTAGGTTCGGTATTTGGATGGCGGTGAGGAGCTGGCATTGCTGCCCAGGGCTGTGGTGCCCATCCCTGGAGGGGTCCTGGACAGCCCAAGCTGGTGAGGGGAGCAGCCAGCCTACAGAAGGAGTTGGAACCAGATGATCATTCAGGTTCCTTCCAGCCCAAGCTGTTCTGTGATTGTAAACGTGAATACCGAATCTGCAAGGTTGGCAATTCTTGTCTAGTGTGTCCTCTTGCCATAGTTACTCTATTTTGCTCCATCCTTCTAATACAACTGGGAAATGCTCTTCCTCTCTTCCACCTTTACCTGACTGGCTCTGTTTCTTGCAGGAGTTCAGCTTTCCTCTTGTATGAGGATTCCTGTGAGCAGTAGATCAGGTTAGTCCTCAGTGGAGAACTGTTTTTTTCTCATTAAAAAAATTAGAAAAACTTAGTTTTCATCTGGTTTTGAGGGAGATGTTTAGCTCAAGGTGGTAAACCACACTGCAAGGGTCCTCCTTGCAGCCAGGTGCACTGGCAGAACAAAAGGCCAAGAGAAACTACTATCCCTCCTGAGATGCGTGCTTGGAGTCGCTCTGTCCTCTCTGCACAGTTCCGGTGGCTTCATTGCTGACTGTAGCTGTCTTCTCTGCCTGCCAGTGTTGACAGTCTTTGTTTAACTCTGACCACACCAGCTCAGCTCCCTTTGCTCTGCTCTGAGCAACAAACCCCATAGGAGGTCATCGTGCACCAGTCCCTGGACCTGCGCTGTGCAAAGGCAGAGCCAGCTGCTATCTGTCTGTCCTTCTCCAAGCAAAGGGAGGTGGGGGGGGGGGGGCAGCCCCCCATGGCTCCCTGCCAGGGCATGAGAAGAAGGAAGGACTGTCTCTAGCTGGCACATAAGTATTATTACCCCCCTTCTGCAGAATTTTGCTTTTAAAGCGTTGAAAGTTGAATTTAGAGATCAGAATTGCTTAGTTGTTTCCGCTGTTCTGGTTTGTGGGTTGTCTCGGATTTTTTTTTACAGCTCTTAGTATTTTATTTCTGTTTTGAGGGGAGTATCCCCAAAGCAGTTTTTAACTGTAGCACTGCACTGAATTACTCTGATTGGCATTTCTCTTAGGTTACCCTGAAAGAAAACCACATGGGCATTCCAAAATGGGGAGGTGGGAGAGGCAAGAGGAGAGCAAAATAGCTCTGTAAAGGCAACTTCCATCTGAAGTTTGTTCTCCTCTTTACCTCCTTTGCTGCACTGACACTGAGAATTCATCAGTGGGGCTCAATCTCTGATGCTCAGATGCTGAGCAGACACTGTTGTACTGCAGAAAGAGCGGCCCAGCTCTTATTCTCTGTCTCAGAGCTGATGGCCTTGGCTGGTGGGAGTCTGCCATAACACCAGACCTGTTTTTTTGGAGTAGCACTTTGTAAGTGGTTGGATGCGTTGTATGAAGAGGAAAATTAAAGAGTGGTTTGCACTGAAACTGGGTTTTGTTGTGTGTTCATCTGTTGTTATGTGGCCTGAAGTGCAGGATGAGCAGCTGCTGGTTGTGAGGATGCCTGCTGCAGCAGGAGCTCTTTCAGCTGGAGCGCAGTGAGTGCCGTGCAGGGGAGCAGTGCAGTGCTGTCTCAATCTGAAAGTTTGTTCTCAACGTTTGCTTTTTCTCCACTGCAGTGCTGTGCTGGTCTGTGGTGGTCCTTGCCTTTCTGCGACGTTGGGCAGCCTCAGTTGTGCCTTTCTCATCATCCTTCTGCAGATCTGGGGAGGCTGCATTCCTTCCGGCCATTTTTGCTCCATAGCTTCCCTGCTTGTGGCCATACCACTGAAATGGTTGTCCTGCAGCTACTGCAGTTTCCCAAGGCGTGCTAAATAAGTACCTTAAGCTGGAAAAGGTCAAGGAAGCAAGTTAAATGCAACAGGCTTGCATGCATTTAGCACGTGCAGGGAATCTGGAGGATTGTCACCAAGCCTGCAGATCGAGGACAGTTGTGAAGGTGAAAACCTCGTGAAGGGGTGTTGAGGACTGGCGTGAAAAACAAGGCCGTGTTCAGAGTATGAAGGACACGATAATGGTGTAAAGGAATTTGAGCAGCAAACAACTAGCTGCAAGTTGTGCTGTGTGAGAAAGCTGTTGTGGGAAGTAGGCGTAGCGGGAACTTGGTGGTTACAGGTTGATGGACATGAGTGATAGCCAATGAGAACGCGGCAAGTGAACTTAAAGGTTATGTAGGATGTTGCTCTACCATTAAACGTTGGACTTAGTTGCTAACTCGTGTCGAGTCGTCACTAAGATCCCACTCCCACAAAGGGGGCTTAAAGCTCATGCTGTGACTGCAGTGTAACAGCTGAAGGGCTTGGTCTTAGAGCCTGAGAGAAGGTTAGAAGAGCCTCAATAGAAAACAGCAGTTACTGAGATACACTGTGAAATGCTGACCATCAAAGCATGACATGAAACCCATCATGGATATCTGTGGCTCCAGGGGAATGAATACGTGGTTGCACATTTGTCTTTTTAGTGAAGCAGGGTGGTGTGCAGTGTTCTGGGAAATGAGGCAGAGAAAGAAATAGGGAAGGAATAAACTAATTGGTGAGAATCAAAGAATGCCTTAGGCTGGAGTGAATCTTGAAGATCATCTAGTTCCAAACACCCTGCCATGGGCAGCGTTGCCACCCACCAGCTCAGGCTGCCCAGGATCCCACCCAGCCTTTCCTGGAATGCTTCCAGAGAAGGAGCATCAACAATCTTTCTGGGCAACCTGCTGCAGTGCCTCCCCAACATAAAAATAAATAAATAAAAAAAGAGGAAGTTGGAGGACAGGTTAAGTTTTATGTAATAAGTCAGTGGCAAAAGCCTGTGCTGATTTCTGCCTTTTGATATGAAAGCAAGAGCTTGGAAAGAAGGGAAAGCAAAATGGAAGTTTGCTAAGGTGGAGGTGATCAGAGACTGAGCCAGTGCAGAGGCTTGTGGGGAACGTCTCATGCAAGAACGTCGTGGACAGGAAATGGAAAATGACTTGAAACACCAGTTGTACTGTCAGTGAAGTAGAGGTATTCAGGAATGAAACCTCTTGAGGAAAGAGCAGGGAATATCTCGGAGCTAAGATTCCTGGCAGGGGGGCAAATAATGTGGAAATGACCCTCCGCTGAGAGCTGCCGTCCTCACCTGTGCTGGGAGGCAGGCATCGCGCTGATCGTGCCTCTCCAGTGCACAGATGTGGTGCTCCTATCCCTGATGCCAGGGATCCTTGGGAACGCGCTGCCAAGTGGCAGTGAAAGAGTTGGAACTGCCAGACAGAAGCAGAGGCAGTTGGGAGCAGCTGGCACACCCTCTCCCACATCAGGATGAATGCTGGCTGTGGTGCTCTGCCTTGCGCTGCTGTTTCTCTCCTTGTGGCTGTGCCACTGGCGCAGCAAATGCTGCAAGGCAGGAACAACCTAGGAAGGGAACATTCTGGCCGTGCCTGGTGGGGCTCAGCTGTGGGGTCACTGCCACCTTGGGATGCTCTTGGGAAAGTCTGGAGTCCCTGAGGGCACGCTGCTTATCATGTGCATATCCAATACTTGGGCCTCAAATGACAGTTAAGTAACTGCAGTACTGAATGTGCTGTGTTTCTTTTATTCTTAGCTTTGCTAAATACATTAGACGGTTTTCTTTTCAAATCTTTTTCACAAGAAGAGACAGCATTTTCAAATTCAGAAGATGGAGGTCTGTAGTTCTTCCTTAAACATGCCTTCAAAATGGAGGTCTTTTGCCATAAGCTCTTCTTCTACGTCCTCTAAAGCCCACTGATGATCAGTCAGTTCTAAAGCTTCCCATTCCGTCTGCATTGGAATGAAAAAGAGGTAGAGGGGAAAAAAAAGCAGATTTGAATCGGATTTAGATCAGATACACCTGTCTTATCAAGTTTGCTTCAGTGTGCTGTAGAGCTGCCAAACCTGGGGCAACTTGTATTATACCTCATCAGTTATCACCTCTAATTTTAGGAACAGGAAGCCAGAGTGCTTCCCTTGGTTGACATGGGGAAAGCAAAAGGGAATGCAGGTGAAAATACTGTACCTTAAATGCTTTGTTGGTATCTGCTGGCATGGCCATTGCTGCCCCTGTCATTTGTTCTTGCATCACTCTGGACTGATCTGCAGCTGCAAAAAGAGAAATGAGAGGTTTATTTTCATTTGCTTCACTAAGCAGTGCTTGGAGCACAGAGCCTCTGGGCCGCACTAGAAAGTTGGAGAACTCACCTCCTCCCTTCTCCCCCCTGAAACAAAACATTAACTTGGCCATGTGAGTTCTCACGAGACATCCTGTCCCTGTTCCTTACATCTTAGCTAAATTTACTTAAAATATGCAGGCAGATGGAGGAAAATATGGTCCTTTACATTCCCCATCACCATCTTGCCTTGAATGTAACATTAAGTGACTACTGCAGCTTTTGTTAAAACTGATCCTTGCCAGCAATAAATCGAAGCCAAGATCAGAAGTTTCTACTTTCCAATTTGATGAGAAGGAAAGCATGGGTTAATTACCACAGAGGTTTACAAACAGTTAGCTAACAGCTGGTGCAGGAGAGATGAGTAATTGCTCCAGGTGATGGCAAACCTGGCTAGTGGAAAGTAATTTCAAGGAAGCGAGAGAGGCTTTTTGGTTGGAAATGTAGAAGTGCTTCCACAGCAAGTCATTTAATGAAAGGAGAAGCCAGCTCCTCCCCGGCAGTGACAGGACTTACCATTGTCTTGACCCAAAATGAGAGTATAAATGCTTCTGAGTCCAAACACGTTCAAGAAGTACCAGGAAGCAGAGCTCACCCTAGAAAATCAGAATAAGCATTTCTGACTTCAGTTTAAAGATGCCTGTTTGTGACACGTTGCTTGTGACTTGACTTCACAAGCATGCACAGGCTATTCAAGGGTTTTTAAGACTTTCAGAATATTCCAAATGTTCACCTTTGAGTGTGGAGAACACACTTACCAGGATGCATCTAAAGTGAGCAGTTCAATTCCCTGCTGCAACATTGGTTTGAAACGCAGTGTCAGAGGAAATGGGACCTTTGCTGAAGGACAAAATGAAACCCAGTTTCACAAGGTAACACAGCGTACTTGCAGAGGAGATTGCAAAGCCAGTAGATGTTTCTTTCATTAGATCTAGTGCAGTCTGAAGGTAATGCATAAAATAACAATGCACACTTTTGAAAAAGCAGTCATTCTAATTTTTATTTTAAAATGGAACCTTTTAAAACCATCACAGCCAAATTATCATAGCTGTTGTTTCAGTGAAGGGAAACGTCTTTTGTTAAGGAGACAGTTACTGCATAAGCAACAAAGAAAACAACCCACAAAGCTGTGCATTTAAGGGAGCCTGCTTGATATGCAAACTCTGCATGACACAGTAACTGACTCCCCTCCATCAATTTGAAGTCTAAGCAGTTTTAATAAATAACTCTTTTCACCACTAGACCTGTTCCCAGTAGAAGCTGTTTTGTTTGTCATCACGTCCAGTTCTCTGAGAATAACCTTCCCACCTTTGCTTTGGGACGAGCCAATCAATGTGCTTCATGCAGCAAGCCAGATTCACCCTGCTTCCAGCCTGCTGCTTTCAGGTGTGGGATCAGATTCCTCTAGAGGTCCTCACCCACCACAGCCAGACCCTCAGGCTGTTATTCCACACTCTTACTTGTGACAAACCCTGAGAATGTCATGTTGATCCAACCGCCGATGAGGATCATAGGCAGCACGTTGGTTACATTCCCTTTCATCATGTCTGTCAACATGGTAGGATCTGCAAATCAAACACAGAACACCACGTAGCAGGGCAGACAGGAGATAATACTTCCACCAAGGTGAGGTGCCTCAAATACAAAACTGAATGAGAGCTAACAGTTCTACCCCGCTATCTACCTGGATCTATTAGTTTCTACTGTCAGTCATCAAATATTTTGCAAGATGAGCAGCTGTTGTGGCAGCAGCAGCTGCTGAAAGCATCTTTTGTTTTCTGCTGCATATGTCCCATCCCAGTCTGGGCCTCTCTGTGAGGCTGCTTACCTAAAAAAGTGGCAGTGAACAATTCAGCCAATTTGCTATTGATGTCTTTGGAGCCAATAACGAGTTACGCATTTAGAGATGGTCCTGCTGGAGCTGGTGCAGAAAAATGACAGCAGGACTCCCATTTCTGGCCATACTGAGAGGCATGTCTCACGAGACCACGATGCTGAAGCGACCCAACACATTGCTACCTCCCCTCTCCTCTGCCCTCCAGCCTCAGCTCATTTCCCACCTCCGCCCTCACATTCACTGAACTCTTTGCCAAGGTGGTTCTCCTTGCTACCTCTGCAGAAAAAGACATCTTTTCCCTCCCGCCTGTGTTCACCACGCCATAACACACCTGTCATTGGTGAAGGAGGCACCACCTTTCTTTTCGTTTTCTTAAAAAATCCATCTTCTGGGTTATTAAAATAGTATTTCCGGGTCAGGAAAGACTGAAAACAAAAAGAGCCAATGCCAGCATCGTGAGCAATGAAGGACAACAATATTTCTTGCTCATTTAAACACTTTAGGAGCTATCTGACGACGTTTTTCTCAGCTACTTCACTATCTGGATGCCCTGAAGCTCATTACTTTGATGTTTCCCCAAGTACCAACTTTCTGTCTTGCCAAAATTCCTGAAATAATCCTACAAGTTCTCTTAAGAAAAATCCACCTTTCACACTTTGTGCAAAGCTCCTGTTGGCTCTGCACCGACACCAGACAGTTCCACTCCCCCACCCCGACTTACAGCTTTTACAATACACGGATTAGGCAGCAACTGAGCAAATGCGAGCAGCCGACTGCCTCATTCTCCTGAGCTCTCAATCCCTGCGGGTTTACCGGCAGCTGTTCAGCGCGGCGCTTTGGAGGCAGGTTTCACTTCAGCACGCCAAGCCAGGCGGCACACCAGGGAGGAGGCAGCGAGTTCCCTGTGCCCAACCCCATCTCGGGGCTGCGCTCCCACTGTGAGACTCGAGCTGCCCACGCACCTCCGTACCTGCTTCGGGATGTATTTTCCATTCTCCCGCAGGACCCTGCTGCGAATCAGGACTTGGCTGCAAAAGAGAGGGGCGGTGTGAGCGGCGGCGGCGGCACCCGTGGGGCCGGGAGGGCTTCGGGGCCGGGGCCTGACCTGTCCGACACCTGCTCCTGCGTGAGGCGCTTGTCGCTCTGCAGCAGGATGGAGACATAGTGGCGGATCATGCCCACGAAGAAGGTGATGAAGACGATGGGCAGCACCACCCACAGACG